ACATACATGGTTCATTAATCACAACACTCCAGCCTTTAAGCTTCCCTTCTCCAATTTGGCCACCCTACCTTTGTTTTAAAAATTAGTATTTCAGGGCGCCTGGGTGGCTAAGTCGGTTAAGTATTTGACTCTTGATTTCAGCTCAGGTCATGATCTCAGGGTTCCTGAGATTGAGCCCAGCTTTGGGCTCTGTGCTGACAGCAGGGAGCCTGCTTGGGATTCTCCCCCCCTCTCCCCCCCGCCGCCCCTCCCTGTGTGCGTGCATGCATGCGTGCATGCTGTCTCTCTCTCTCAAACTAAATAAACTTTTTAAAAACATTTCATTAGATAATTTTCCTCTCTACAAAAATTTTTTAGTTTAAGTTATACATTTCGATGTTTTGTTTTGGGTATATAAAATCACAACATTTAAATACATTTTGAAATATGAAGTATAGGTTAATGGGAAATAACACAAATGTGAATATAGAATCATGAGTTTTTTAGTAATGTCCAGCAGTTGTGTAACTTAAAATATTCATTTATGATACTGTAAAATTGTTTTGTGTAGTTTATATTTTTCTGTTCTTAAATTGCAGTATGGACTCCAATTGCTTTGACAGTGGTTTTAGTTGCTGTTGCAACATTGTGTAAAGAACAAGGAATAACAGTTGTGGGAATTTGCTGTGTGTATGAAGTATTTATTGCCCAAGGGGTAAGGAGAAATAAAATTTTTATTGTTATCTTTTATCCTATTTGAATTTGATGATAATAAACTTGGTTTCTAAATGTGTCATTATAAATTATTCTCTTTACCAATAATGTTACCAAAAATTTGCAAGAAACTGGCATATTTTGTCCTCGTAGCCACTGAAAATTACTTAACATTTTATAACTCCTTCAGTTTTTTAAGACTGTTGTTTCAGTTTTAATAATGGAACCATTAGGTAATTTGGAAATGTACACAGTAATACCGTCCAATATGATTCATTATTGGGTAAGATTATTGGACTCAGTTTTATTCCTTATCAGTTCCACACATTGCTCCATACTGATTTTATAATTACAGTCAATTTATATCTAATCTTGCATTTTGAATGTATTGCATTGTTGAAAACGTTGTAGTATATTGTTATTTAAAACTTTTTTTTTCCTTTTGCAGTATACTTTGCCATTATTATGTACTACTGCCAGACAGTTTTTCCGTGGGAAGAGTAATATTCCATTTTCTATGCTGCAGACACTAATAAAACTCATTGTTTTGATGTTCAGTACACTATTACTTGTTGTGATTAGAGTCCAGGTCATTCAGTCCCAACTTCCAGTATTCACCAGGTATGGAAATTCTGGTTCTTTTTTTTGTTTTTGTTTTTGTTTTTGTTTTGTTTTGTTTTGTTTTCATCCTTTCTTTAACTCTTGATGTTCAGTGATTATAATAGAAGTGTTTGATTTACATTGAGTTTTTTTTCTTTTTTCATGTTTGTTTATTTATTTATTTATTTATTTATTTAGAGAGAGAGTAAAAACAGCACAAGCAAGGGAGGAGCAGAGAGAGAGGGTGAGAGAATTCCAAGTAGGCTCCACGCTGTCAGCACAGAGCCCAATGTGGGGCTCAATCTCATGAATCATGAGATCACGACCTGAGCTGAAATTAAGAGTTGGCTGCTAAATGACTAAGCCACCCAGGCGCCCCTACATTGAAGTTTTTTTTAACAGCTTTTTGTATAATTAATATTTTTTTAAAACCTGCATATATTTATAATGTACAAATTAGTAAATTTTGACATATTGAGTACACTCATGAAACCAATGAATGAAAATAATGATTTTAACCTAATGAAAATTTAACCTATTTTAACTTAATTGGTTATTAAGTGATGTCTTATATAGTTTAAGTGATTTTTATCTACTTGTTCTATTATTAAGTAGAGGATGTTGAAATCTTTGACTATAATTGTAGATTGGTCTATTTCTTCTTGTAGTTTTTACTTCATGTGTTTTAAAGCTCTATTTTCAAGTGGTTAACATCTAGGATTATAATGTCTTGATGAATTAATCCCTTTACCTTTATTAATGAGTTTCTTTATCCTTAGTAATAATCTTTACTCAGAAATTCACTTTATATCTCTTTTGTTAGAGTTACATGGTTTATCTTTTTCCATCTTTTTACTTTTTATCTATCAATATCTTTTTTTTTATTTTGAGAGAGCAGGGAGAGACAGAGAGAGGGAGAAAGAAAATTCCAAGCAAGCTTTGAACTGTCAGCACAGAGCCCAGGGCAGGTCTCAATCCCACAAACCATGAGATCATGACCTGAGCTGAAATCAAGAGTCGAACACTTAATCAACTGAGCCATCCAGGCACTACTATCAGTATCTTTGAAATTGATATCTTACAGGCTGCATATAATTGAGTCTTCCTTTTTTGTTTGATCAGATAATCTGTTTTTTAAATGAGGTGTTTCAGCCATTTACATTTAATGTGATTTTCGTATTGTACCATTTTTGTTTGTGACTAAAGGACTTTATCATTTCTTGACCTGTAGGTCTGTTGATGCCAAATTGTTTTAGCTTTTGTATATAAAAATATCTTTATTTTACCTTTGTTTTTGAAAAATATTTTCCCTGAGTTTAGAATTCTACACTGACTGTTTTGCATTCAGCACTCTAAAAATGTTGCTCTACTATTTTCTAGCTTGCATTGTTTTTACTGGGAAAACCTCTGTCATCTTTATTTTTGTGCTTCTGCATATAGTGTGTCTTTTTCTCTATGCCTGCTTTTATTATTTTCTCCTCACCATTGTTTCTCTTTTTATTTTATTTTTTAAATTGAGACATAACTGATCTATAACACTATATGAATTTTAGGTATACAGTGTCATGATTTAGTATATGCGTGTTGAGAAATTATCACAATAAATTTACTTAACATCCATCACCACACATAATTACAGAGAATTTTTTTCTTGTGATGAAAACTTTTACAATCTACTTTCTTTGCAGCTTTCAAATATGTAATATGGTATTATTAACTGTAGTCCCCATGCTGCATATTACTACTGTAGGACATACTTATCATATAACAAAATTTGGGTGAAGGTGGTCAAATGATACAAACTTCTGGTTACCCTTACTTTTATTTTCATGTGCACTGTGCTTAGGTTAACTGAGTTTAGAATCTATGTGTTTTAGTATGTAAATTTTGGAAATGTTTTAGCCATTACTCATTGAAATTTGTTTCTATTCTTCTAGGACCCCAATTACATGTAAATTAGGCCTTTTGAAGTTGTCACACTAATGCTCTGTTTATTCCCCTCCCAAAACTATTTTCTCCGTTTTCATTTTGGTAGTTTCTTCTGCTTTGCATTCAAGTTCACTGGTCTTTTTTATGCAATGTCGAGTCTCCCTTTAATTTTTTCTAGTTTTTTCATTTCAGACAGTTTTCATCTCTAGAAATTCTGTTTAAGCCTTTTTTCTATGTTTCATGTCTTTACATGTTCTAGTACTTTAATGTCTTCATCTACTAATTTTCTTGTGTGTGTCATTTCTTAGTTTAGATTGAATAATTTTTCTCTTCATAGATTATATGTTTCTACTTTTTCACATGCCCAGTAACTTTTTAGTAGATGCCATATGTGAGTTTTACTTTAATATATTCCTATAAATATTTTAGAGCTTTATTTTGGGATGCATTTAAGTTATTTGAGAGATGTTTCATCTTCTAGTCTTGCTCTTAAGCTTTGTTATATGAGACCACAGCAGCATTTATGATAGAGGTAATTTTCTTCCACTACTGATTCTGTCTGATAGACTGTGACTTATGAGAGCTTTTATTCTGGCTGCTGAGGAACTGTTCCCAGCTCTGTATGGCATTTGAGAATTTTTATCTAATTCGTTTGAGAGGTAGTTTCCTATTTCTATTATTTTTCCTGCTGCTGTAACAAATTAGCAGAAACTGGGTAGCTTAAAGCAGCAGAAATTTATTCTCTTACAGTGATGGAGGCCACAGTCCAAACTGTGTCAGGCATAGTTGGTTCCTTCTGAAGACTCTCAGGAAGAAGTCTGTTCCATGCCTCTTTCCTAGTAGCTTCTAGTGGTTGCTAGCAGTCTTTGGCATTCCTTGGTGTGTTGCTGTATCACTGCAGTGATTATACATTTGGTTTAAGGCTCACCCTAATCCAGTGTGACCTCATCCTAACTTGACTAATTACATTGGCAAAGAACCTATTTCCAAATAAGGAAAAAAATCTGAGGTTCTGGATAGACATGAATGTTTGAGAGACATGGTTCAACCCACTACACTGACCTTGAGTATTTCCATATATATATGCTGATTGGTTCTGATCAGTACTACAGACTGGAAGGAGACCCTCTACAGATCTGAGTTCTCTTTGTCAGCAGCTTTCTTCTCTCTGGTATTCTCCCCCACTGACTCTATCGACTTGGGCTCCTAGGGATCCCAGCTCCATCTTCACAACTCAGGGATACTCCTAGGCTCCACTGGGTTCTCCCTCAATGCTCCACAGACTAAGAACTGTATCCAAGTATTGAACTTTCCAGGTAGGGTTTCCCTCATTTGTTTTCCTTCTCTTGGGTATCATTGTCTTTCTTTGCCTGATACCCAACTGTGTTATGTCTTGTCCAGTTCTTCTCTCCTTTAAGACTAGAAGCAAAAAGGGGCGCCTGGGCGGCTCAGTCAGTTGGGTGTCCGACTTCAGCTCAGGTCATGATCTCACCGTCCGTGAGTTCGAGCCCCACATCAGGCTTTCTGCTGATAGCTCAGAGCCTGGAGCCTGCTTTGGATTCTGTGTCTCGTTCTCTCCCTGCCCCTCCCCCCACTAGCACTCTGTGTCTCTCTCTCAAAAATAAAATAAAAACATTAAAAAAAATTAAAAAAAAAAGACTAGAAGCAAAAGTTATACTGAATTTAACAGTCTACATATCTTGTTTTCCTGCTCTAACATTTAGCATTTTCCCATTTCACCTTTTTCAGGGTAAAATTTATAATGAAATTTATAGGGGCACCTGGGTGACTCTGTCGGTTAAGCATCTAATTCTCAATTTCGACTCAGGTCATGATCTCATGGTTTGTGAGATTGAATCCTGCATTGGGGCTCTGCCCTAACATTGCAGAACCTGCTTGGGATTCTCTCTCTCTCTCTCTCTCTCTCTCTCTCTCTCCCTCTCCCTCTCCCTCTCTCTCCCTCTCTCTCTCTCTCCCTCTCTCTCTGCCCCTCCCCAACTCACACTCTCTCTCAAAAAAAGAAAAAAGTTAAAAAAAAATAAAATGAAATTTATACTAGTTTCTTACCCAATTTTATTTAAGTGACTAACGTTACATGCAAGATCTTTTAACATTTCCACGCAATATTCCTTTCAGTAGCATTTTTTTCTTTGAAGAATAATTACTTTCTAATTTTATGAATTTTTACTTCTGAGTCTAGCTGTGGTAAACTGAACCAACTTATTTAAATAGTAAAATATGGAAAAGAGATTAAACTGTAAATATTTTATATTTCCTTCTTTACCCTCATATTCAGTGTTACTGTTTTTATTCCTTTTAGAGAATTTGCATCAACTGTTTTTATCTCCATTTCTGTAGTATGATAATGTGGTTTATATGTATTAATGTATTTTGTGTATGTGTGGATTGCTATATGGATTATATTACATATAAATATATATTTTCCAAATATAAGCATTTAAAAGTATGCGTATATATAAATTTCTTGTATTAAATTATCGGTGAAGTTGACTATAATATGGTTTCACATGCTTTGCCACATGTTCTTTTTCTATAGTACAGTTATTAAATCAGCTATTCTAAATAAACTATTAATTATAAAACTGAACTTCGAATAGTGGATTATAGGAAAAAAGACAGCCTTGTGTTCAGTTCTGTTCGTTATTTGATAATTCAAGCCTTGACTCAAGATTTGTTATTTTTCATATATGTAGACATTCAAATATGAAAGTTTTAAAAATGATGTTATTTGTTTAAATAGTATTTACTGTTTCCCAGCCATTTGAATTTTTAAGAAGACCAAGTCAAATAAATGGTAGAGGTTGATTTTTTTTATTAACTCATTCATTATAAAATGACAAATTGGGCTTTTAAACACTAATATTAACAAAACCAATAAAATTTTGAATGTAGCCTAAAGAAATGAGTATCTGAAGCCATTCATTTGAAATATACTTAAAAAATGATTTGACTATGGTTTGACTTAGTTTGCAAGAAGCAGACTGAATTAATGAAACATACATGTAATATATCGTGGCCTGGACTAATATAAAATAGGATATAAGCAAACTGTAAGAGACTCTTAACTATAGAGAAGAAACTGAAGGTTGATGGAGGGAGGTGGGTGGGGGATGGGCTAAATGGGTGATGGGCATTAAGGAGGGCACATGGGATAGCACTTATATATATAAGTTATATATGTTATATGTAAGTTATATATAAGTGATGGATCACTAAATTCTACACAGAAACCACATATGTTTTACCATGTATGTTAACTAGAATTTAAATAAAAACTTGGAAAAAAAAGTATAAGCTTATGTTAGTATATAGTAGGAGAAAAAGTAGAACACAAATAAAATGTTACATAGGGAAATACAGCTACTATTCTATACTGAAATTTGGTTTCAGCTTCCTAAAAGTCTAAGCAAAGAGGAAAAGCTCATAGGTGATACAGTTTTTTCTGTCCATGACAAAAGAAAACCTTTCTTTCTAGGAAGCATAATTTTTATTAGCATTTAGTGCTGAAAGAAGCATCTCATGCAGAAGAAAATATTGGTTAGTGTTCTCCAAAGCACTCGTACAGCACCTACAACGAGTCTATTAAAATGTTCTTTTTACTTTTAATCAGGTTATAATTTAATGAAAGCACTTCTGCAGGGTACACATGTCTGATCTAGTTGCCCTTCCAACCATTCCTCATAGATTCTCAACTAGATATTTCATAAGGGTTGGACATTTTGAACTCCAGTGAGGACTGAGGTATTCATAAAAAATACTTTGTCATTTTAAGTGAGATTACATATGAAATACTGCTTTTTGGTATTTTATTTATATGTTACATATTAATTTTGTGTTTGAAACGTGTTTTAGATTAAATAACTTTTTTTTTTAATCTTTTTACAGATTTGATAACCCAGCTGCTGTAAGCCCAACTCCTACAAGGCAGCTAACTTTTAACTACCTCCTTCCCTTGAATGCTTGGCTTCTATTAAATCCTTCAGAACTGTGCTGTGATTGGACCATGGGAACAATACCACTTATAGAATCATTTCTAGATATTCGAAATCTTGCCACATTTATTTTCTTTTGCTTTTTGGGGGCTTTGGGGGTATTCAGTCTCAGATACCCTGGTGATTCCTCCAAGACTGTTTTAATGGTAAGAAAACTTTCTTAATTTTTCAATTGATACAACATTCAGTTGATTTAAAGACCACCTTTAATTTGTCAAAGCATCTTCTTAGAAACAGTATTTTTGTTTATTCAGCATCACCCTAATTTATTAAATATATATCAGAATTTCATATGCAGGCATATATATTCAGCATGTAAAATAAAAACTGGTTATAAATTTCCCTATTTGGTAGGAACTCTGAAATCATGAAGCATCCCTTTTGGCATCATTATCTTCTACTTCTTTATCCAAGTAGATTATACACTTTTTTTGAGGAAATGGATCATGTTATATACTTTGTGTTCTTGACACAGAGAAGAATGTCATGTAAGGTAGACAGCTAGAAACATATTAGCTCTTTAGTTCTCATTAGTAAGACTTCATTATTCTATGAGTTATTTTTTACTATGTTCAGAGGACTCTGATTATGTACAGAGTCTTCTTATTCAGGATGTATTTCTTTGTAATTTTCGTACTTTGCTGTCACTTCTAACAGTTTTGTTTTCCTTTAAATTATTGAAGACAATAATAATCTTTAACATTTTCTTGAGCATTTGCTACATGCCAGAAAGTGTTTCTAATACTTTACAAATACATCATACCTGGCTGCAGTCACTAGATTAGTCATTCACTAAAAGTTTTTTGTTGTGATCTGTGTACCAGGCAGCATTTTAGGCACTGAGGATATGATAAATACAAGGCCCCGATTACCAGGGAATTGGCATTTTGGAAAAATTTGAAGCTAATCTCTGATATATAGAGACAATTGAAAGAATATAGGGTTTGGGAGAAAGATCATATTTACTATTATTTTTTGATCTGTTGAGTTTGATCCTAGTGGGGAATTTGAATAGCACCTGGTGCCTGGAGTTCAGAGGAGACGCCTAAGCTACACATAAAAAATTGATTGCAGTATTGGCATAGAGATAGTAATTGAAACCAGGATATGATTAAGAAAGTCTATGGCGATTTTAGAGGTTTCTCACCTGGGGTTTTGTCACTGTTCTCAAAGATAGTAATCAGCTATTACCATTGTAGATGCATGGAATAGAAGATAATTCATACACATAATTAATGCCTTGGAGTATTTGGTCTTAATTCTTCCTCAGTAGATAGTTGAAGGGGCTAGATAGAGTGAAAAGAAAAGAAACCTACAAGTAGGTCTTTACCTAGGTGCCTTAGTTGGTTAAGCATCTGACTCTGGATCTCAATATAGATTTTGTTCTCAGGATCCTGAGTTCAAGCCCCACGCTGTGCTCCACACTGAGTGCAGAGCCTGCTTAAAATAAGTCAGTCAGAGAAAGATCTCCTATGATTTCACTTATATGTAGAATTTGAGGACCTTAACAGATGAACATAGGAGAAGGGAAGGAAAAATAAGATAAAAACAGAGAGGGTGGCAAACCATAAGAGACTCTTAAATACAGAGAACAAACTGAAGGTTGGTGAGGAGTGTGTTAAATGGGCAACAGGCAATAAGGAGGGCACTTTTCGAGATGAGCACAGGGTGTCAGATGTAAGAGATGAATCACCAGGTTCTACTCCTGAAGCCATGACCACACTGTATATTAACTTGAGAAAATAATAAAAATAAAAAAAAAAAGACCTTCTCTATTTAGATACTGTGTAGAAGAGAATGAACCTAAATAGGAGCTAGACCAAGTGGACAGAAAGGTAAGTAAATGTTTTAAGGAAGATGGAATGGTTATCACTAACAGATGCTGTGAAGCAGAAAAGTGAGATCAGTCATATTTTACCTCTTTTGGTGTATTAGTTACTTAAATGAAATTTATTTCTGTGGAAAAATTTGATTAGGAGATAAGGACGTGAAGATTGCTAGTGTAGATAACCAACCCATAAGGTAACTCAACTTTGAATATTTCAAAGGATGAGCAAACTTGAATTTATTACTACCTAAGTGAGAGAATACTATGCCGACTTCAAGTATCACAGACTGATCTCATGTAGAGCTTGGAGGAAGCATGAAGATCTAGATTTGGTGTACCTTCAGAAGTAGGAGAATCACTTTCATTGGAGTACTCAGTTGGCTGACTTTTAGAAGCAGGGGATGTCAATAATGGGTTGATTTGCAAAAACATACTCATTGATTTGAATTGTTGATTAAGTGGGGTTAAAACGAGCTACTTCATACCCCCACTATAAAAGTGCTTTCATAAGAGTGTGGGAACTTGATTTACACCTGAAGTACATAATGAATGGTAACGTTGCATAATGGTAACGTAAATATATGTTGTCAAAGGACATGTTTAAGATTGGGGAGACAAGAGCATATTTAAATATGGATAGGAACGATACATTTGATTAGAAAGTGGCTGAGTAAATGAGGGGATGGCTAATTGTGAGATTTGTGCGGAGCAAGGGCCATGTAGATACAGCTCAGGTTTGGCCTGAGACAGATGAAGATGCCTCTTATATCTCAGAATGGATGGAAATACATGTGAATGTGGATGTTGGTTGGTATAGGAGCAGGGAATTCAAGGAATTCTTGTTTTATGAGTGTAGTTTTCTCTGTATGTTTGGAAGTATAGTCACCTGCTGAAAATGTCATGGATCAGAAGTTTAAAGTAATCAAGATTTAAAATCTAGGAGAGTGGGAATGAGCCTACCAAAGAAACCTAGAAATTCTGAGCAGTCTTAAGAATCATTTTGAAGTTGACCATGAATTTTTGATGATACTGATCTGTTCTGCTTTGGGACTGTCTCTAGTAGTGCTTTGTTGCTCAGGTAAATACAAAGCAGATATATGGTAGAACACATCCAAAGCCGAGGTTCTGCTAAAAGAAAGGAAAAATAAGGAAGGTTGGGTGAATTTAAAATTTGGGCAAATAAAGTAATGATTTATGTAATGTAAGCTGAATAAAAAATAAAGAGAGGATCGTGCCAGTGAAGTAAGCATAGATTTACATAAATTTTATTTTATGTGTATAAAAGAACAATTGTGACCTTAAGTACTGCCTTAAGAGAGTACTAAACAGGTTATTTTTTATGGTGATATTTTCTGAAGATCTATGGAAGGGACTGAGTAGATCAAAGGAGTGCCTGCCAAGTACCAGATACCATGATAAGCACTTACTAAATAAAATGCCATATGTATCAACAATATAAGCAGTTATTAATCCCTTTTTATGAAGAAACACTGATTGGCAAGATGATTGAGTGGTTTACCTTATTATGTTACATAAGAAATAAGAAGTCAAAGAGATTTGTCCAAACTCTGTGAGCTTTCCACTACCACCTTTTCTTTTCTGTTGTTGTTGTTTTTTTAATGTTATTTTTGACAGAGTGCAAGTGGGGGAGGGGCAAAGGGAGAGACACAGAATCAAAAGCAGACTCCAGGCTCTGGGCTGTCAGCACAGAGCCTGACATGGGGCTCGAACCAGCAAACCATGAAATCATCACCTGAGCTGAAGTCAGATACTTAACCATCTGAGCCAGCAAGGCACCCCTAACACCTGTTGTTTTAAAGAGAATTTTATGTTACTGAAGAAGGAACTTATGGTAGCCATAGTTACCTAGGTTAGCATATACCAGTAGAGAACATATTAGAACTTTTCATTAAGTTAATTAGAGGCATTCCTTATCTAGGAACCGGTAGGTTTTTTGTGAGATTGTTTTTTGTGTATGCAGCTTATGCATCACAACCAATGCATCTTTGAATGAATTTAACACTTTTAATTCTTTTAAATAAAATTGCTATAAGGAGCCATAAATTATTTAAAAAAAAATGTTTGCTTGTTTGTTTTTAGAAAAGGACTACATATTTTGGAATGTCTCTTTCGCAGCTAGCTGGTTATTTTTATCAAGCACTCTTGGGAAATGGAAAGTGAAATATGTACTCTGAATGTTTTACCTTTTTGATCAAAAAAGAAAACACTAAAATTTTAGATCTATAAATTAGCGTGATACTGAGCAGTTTGGTAGTGCTTTAGAGTTATTTCCTTATTACAAGTCATTAATTTGTGTGATGGAGAAATACACATCTCTGTATCTATATTTTGCTAATAAAATATAATAAAGGAAAAACAATCTTTCCTCTCAAACTGTTAGAAGACTCAAACTTCTGAAGCTGAAGGAACAATTTGCAGTTATTCAGTTAGATACTATAAAACAAATTAGGGTAACAAATTGTGGAAGCAGATATCCATAGAAACAGGTGTCTTAATAACAACCAACTTCTTTTCACAAGTTATTTGTGTGCTAGCTGTTCGTATCCTATCTTTTTAATGGCTTTATAATCTAGCAACCTTATGTTAACTCGTTTTCAAAATGGCAAAAACAATCTAAGCATTTTTATGATGTTTTATTTCAATGTACAGTGTTAGAATTTTAGAAATTCTTGTAGAATAAAATACTACTATTTAATGGGGCAGTTTTATTTTTGTGTATATGCTAAGCCACTGTTAAATGTATATGATCCATCAGAATGTTATGCAAGTAATGCTGGGGTACAGAAGTAGTAGTCTACTATCTTGTCTGAAGTGTACCTTATGTCATTTCCTCAGTTTCCAATATTTGAATAGTTACAGTAGTAAAATTATAAAAACTTGTATGGTTGGTTTTCTTTTGTTAAAACCTGTTAACATCTTTATCAGTTTATTTTTACCACACGTACTTTAGTTGGATGTTTAAAAATTGTCTTATTTATATATATTCCCCCCAAATTTTTTTTATTTAATTGGATGATCTCTGGTTATAAGTTCTAGCTTGATCTCACTTTGGTGACATAATCCTGATGTCTGTTATTACTATCCCTAAGTTGCCTTCCTTATGTTTAAACTAGTATTGTTTAGAGTATTATTAAAAATGGTCCACCAGTACAGTGAACCATTCAAATTAATGGTCATTTATCATTCAAGTTAAATGATACAATATTTGGATTTTGCTATTGAATGTCCACATATTTTTTAAATAAAATATCTTATTTTTCTTTGTAGGCACTTTGTCTAATGGCATTACCATTTATTCCTGCATCAAACCTTTTCTTCCCAGTGGGATTTGTTGTTGCTGAGCGAGTATTATATGTTCCTAGCATGGGGTTCTGTATTTTGGTAGCCCATGGATGGCAGAAAATATCAAACAAAAGGTGAATTAAAATGTTAGTTCATTTAATGCTTACAAACTATAGAATTAAGTGTGATACATTTAAGTATTTAAAGTGTTTAGTTTTATAAGTCATATTTTTATACCTTTTTATTTTCCATCTTGATCGTTTCCTCATATTTCTGTAATTGAAGTTAAGAAAGCTCCATGGTACCCACCTCACCCTATGTTCTTTCTCTTATTTATATAATTTTGTTGTAAGCCTGAAACCTAACACACTTTGAGTTAGACCCAAATGAAAACAAGGATATTATTGAGACTACAGTTACAAATTACCATTGCCACTTCCACATGCAGTGAACTAAGATATAGGCTTCTTATTTAAGTGAGTCATGTTGATTTAATATATGTAAAATGCATATAGTAAGCAGTCTGTAATTTGATATCACTATCTTCATCATAACTACCATGTCCTAGAGGCCTCAAACTAACAATTAAGGAACAGAATATTCACATTGTATATATGCAAGAAATGGTCACCGACTCTGCTTTCTCACTTTCTAGTCATCCTTCAACACACAGAATTCTGACTTCTCTCTATATCATTGCATTCTAGTAACTAAATCCAGTCAGTGCTTGTATTTAAAATTTATTTCCTGGGCATCTGTAAAAAGTGCCTCTCCTAATTCTCTTCCATGTCTCTTCATCTCTGTTCAGACTCTTCTCAGGTTCTTATTGCTATAACTGCTCTTTATTTATTTCTCAGAGTTTTATTTACAGCCATTTTTGTCACATTGCATATTCTCTCTGGATGATCTCATCCATGTCTACAATTTTTGCTAACATCTACCAAGCCTTTTCTCTTAACTTCTACCCATTTATCCAGTTATAATTACTACCAGTTTTTGAGTGCTTCCCAGGTGCCAAGAGCCATGATAGACCTTTTAGATTTGTTTTCTCATTTAATCTAACTTTCCTTAACTCTGGTGTGCACATTTGAAAATTGAAGCTCATACAGGTTACTGAACCAGAGTACCTCAAGATCACACAGCTAGTAAATAGTAGACTCTTGATTCACATTTACATCTTACTGCCTCCAGTGTCCATTTTCTTTCTGATCCATGCACTCTTATCCTGATTAAGTGGATCTGTCAAAATGAAAGAAGTTGAACTGTGTTACTGAGACAAAAAAATAGACTCAGAGAACATTAGTAATGAATGTGATCATAGGGATTATTGAAGTGTAACCTTTTTATACATGAGGAATTGTTTCCCAAATAATTAGCCTAAAGCTATATAAGCTATATTGTATCTATTATATAAAGTGTTAGTTTTACTATGACTTATCATAAATACCTCTAGCTTTAGAATGTAAAAATATTCAAAGAATGTCATGATAATCTGTGGTATAGATGCAGTCTGGGTAAGCCAAAATTTTTTAAAATACAGCCAGTGATAAAATTGACCCTTGATAAACACAATTAAGAATGTTCAAGTTGTAAGTAAAAGCCCCCCAAAAAAAAGTCATACTTAAAAATTGGTTTATCGGGTTTTTTGTCATTAAACTTAAGCAGACTTTTTGAAATAGAGACCAATAGTGGAATATTTAATATAATTTAAGACTGAAGTAGAAGGCAGTGTGCATAATATTTAATTTTTTGGTGTTGCCTTTGAAGTTGGATGATTGTTAGAAGGATCCTCATTCCTTAAAATAAACTCAAACATGATATTTGGGGATATTTAACATATTTCTTACCTCTATTGTAAAAGGTAAAATGCTTCTGGTGATATAGATAATGTTGTTTTTGTTCTGCTTTTTTCTCTTAAACAGTGTATTAAAAAAGTTATCCTGGGTTTGTCTGTCTATGGTGATATTCACTCATGCCTTAAAAACACTCCACAGAAATTGGGATTGGGAGTCTGAATATACATTGTTTATGTCAGCCTTGAAGGTAAAGTATTACCCAGAATGACAGGAAAGTATGTCATTAATTATTTCTTATAGTCATGTTTAAGATGTTTTTACATTTAATTAGACATTTAACTGTCAATTTTAAGTACTTCACCAAAAGATTAATAAAAATTTGTTCTTTATATAATATATACCATAACCAGGGCTGTGAATAGTACTTAATTGTATGTCTACAGCATATATGAATAATTTTCTAAATACTATATAGTTGTTAGAAGCTCAAATGATAATAGAATGTTTAAGAATACTGTAGGGGAGCCTGGGTGGCTCAGTTGGTTAAGCATTGGACTTCGGCTCTGGTCATGATCTCACAGCTTATGAGTTCGAGCCCTGCATCAGGCTCTGTGCTCAGAGCTCAGAGCCTGGAGCCTGCTTCGGGTTCTGTGTCTCCCTCTTTACCTCTCCCCTGCTCAGGCTCTATCTCTCTTTCTCAAATATAAATAAACATTAAAAAAAAAAATTTAAGAATACTATATATAGTTCACTAGTTCTAAAGGTGTACTTTTTCTTTTTTCTTTTTTTTTTTATTTTTACCTTTTAACATCTCTAAAATCAGAATAAATCTTAGAGTGAGAGGCATCTTAACAATTTGTGGCTTATTTTTTTCTTTTTTTTTTTAATTTTTTTTTTAAATGTTTATTTTTGAGAGAGAGAGACAGAGCAGGAGCAGGGGAGGGGCAGGGAGAGAGGGAGACACAGAATCCAAAGCAGGCTCCAGTCTCTGAGCTGTCAGCACAGAGCCTGAAGCAGGGCTTGAACTCACCAGCCGTGAGATCATTACCTGAGCCAAAGTTGGATGCTTAACCCACCGAGCCACCCAGGCACCCCTAGTGGCTTATTTTTTTCTTAATGGTGAGTCTTATAGCATCTTAGATTCAATGAAATAAAATACATAACAAAAGTGGCACTTTACTATGTGGAAGATAACCGGTGGTTATAGTATGGTAGTTAAGATACGCACTGGCAGGAAGGAGTGATAAAGCATTTCTGTAGAATGGACAACATCTAGGAATAAGGTCTTTTTAAAAATCATAAAATTTGGTTTCTGTAAAAGTTAAAACCAATGATTTTGTTTTTCAGGTGCTTCTCTTCAAATCTGTAAATTCTTAAATTCTTTTTGACTATTTCTGTACTCCCATTGCCTGGCTTTACTAGAATACTGCTTCATTCCAGTAGTCAATGTCATTTCTTGATTTGACATCAGTTTAAGATCACATGACTATCATTTAGTCTCAGTAGCTCCACTCTTTATCCTCTAGCTCAGAAGTTTATAAATAGAAGAGACCTCATTACCATTCCTCTTAATCTGCACTCCTAAAATACCAGTGGAGCCCCATAATTTTCAAGATTTTTGCTTATCCTTACTCCTAGGACAATCTCAAAACCACAGTCCTAGTCACTGAAGCTAGTTCCTTGGCCAGCTACCATCCTCTTCCTGCAGGAACACCATGCCCATCAGTGAACTCTGAAAGCACAGATCAATTTAGAATTTTAATCCCAGGGCTCCCATTACCATAATAGACCACATAAACAGCTTTATAATAAGCCTAAAAAATAAATAGTGAAGTGTTAAATATAGTCTCATGTTCAAATACCTTCTCTTCCAAAAGAATATAAATAGAGCAGCTTTCAAACAACATTATAGCTTGTTTTTTGGTTTTCTTTTTAGTAAGGTCTGTGTCCAATGTGGGACTTGAATTCACGGCCCTGAGATTAAGAGTCACATTCTCTACTGACTGAGCCAGCCAGCAGTCCAAGCTGCTTTGATCAAATAAAAGTTTTAGTAAAATTCTAATGTATAAAACAGATGAAATCAGACTGCTATGGTTTTAGTATGTTGATGTTAAAAGGAAGGAGAGTAAATTGGTGAAGCTGTGTTCATTTTGCTCATTTCTCCTCTCCAGGGACACCTCTGTCAAACACTCCATTTCTAATAATATACCAAACAAATATCTGTGTTGATTGGAGATATATATATATATTTATATATAGATATAGATATAGATCCACAAGTTTTTCTTTTTTGGGAGAAAGTCTCAATTACTTTTTCAAGTTTTATTGAGGTATAATTGACATATAACTTTGTATTAGTTTAAGGTGTATGATGTAATTTATGGATATATTACAAAATAATTACTGCAACAAGTTAAAATCTGTCACGTATTTACAATTTTTCTCTTTTGATGAGAATTTTGAAGGTCTACTCTCAGAAACTTTCAAATATACAACATTGTTAACTATAATCACCATGCTATACCTTGCATCCATAGAACTTATTTATCTTGTAACTGAAAGTTTGTATCTTTGACCACCTTCACCCATTCGTGGATATCTCTGTAGAATACTCCATTCCTAATGGTATACCAGATAAATATCTGTGTTAATTGGAGTTGTATTTTCTTAATTGTAACTAATTTCTATCTATGCTTATGTATTTAAGGTAAATAAAAATAATGCCAAATTATGGAATAATGTGGGTCATGCTCTGGAAAATGAAAAGAACTTTGAGAGAGCTTTGAAATACTTCTTACAGGCTACTCATGTTCAGCCAGGTAAGCATTATTAATTAATAAAACTATTTGGATAGCTTGTTTTTAAAACTTGAATTATATTTGGGAAAATAAAAGTAAGAGGTTTGTTCATTCCAGGTGACTTGAAAACTATAGTGCTCGATGATGGCTTATTTTGAGTTGGATTATATGTTAGAGCTACTTAGACATTTAAGGAATTTATTTTGATATAGCAGAGTTATTGGGTGGTACTGATAATCAATTTGGTGAAGTATAGCTTTGCCAGGTACAAGTACTTGGTGTTAAAATAATTTTTCCCCTCATTGTCAGTTGTCACTGTTTGCCTTTCTTGAGATAATTGCTGATACTTCCATTAGTATGACTTCTCTACAATATTCTCAAAATTGCTGTTTCTAATTAGCCATGGGCTAAGAAAATAGGTAAACCAGTTTATTTGGGATTCTTTCTCTTCCTCTCTTTGTCCCTCCCCTCTATGTACGTAAAGTACTTGAAAAAGTACATAAAGTTAGAAACATTAAATTTGGTATTTAGAGGCATCCTAGCTTTTTCTTTGTTTTTTAGTTGTGTTCTTCATAGATTTGATAGATGAAATGGCATATATGGAGGGACATCAAGAGTCCTTTTTTGTCAGTGTTACACATACACAGATAGTTTCATAAGACTGGAGATAAGGGATATTGAGACTAGAGGTAAAAATTTGGGGTAGCAAGTATCTAGATATTTAAAACCTTGGAACAGTTGAGCACATAAATAGGGATTCATAACATTTTAAAATTACTTTAAAAAAATAAATGAAACATTGAGTCTGAAGGCTTTTCTTGCTTAACCAGAGTAAGATTATAAATTATGCAGTGGTCTGAGAAGGTGACACACATGTTGTGTTAAACGAAGAATTGTGGTTTTTTTGTTTTGATGGTTACCAGTGTTTTTTTTTTTTTTAATTTTTTTTTTTCAACGTTTATTTATTTTTGGGACAGAGAGAGACAGAGCATGAACGGGGGAGGGGCAGAGAGAGAGGGAGACACAGAATCGGAAACAGGCTCCAGGCTCCGAGCCATCAGCCCAGGGCCCGACGCGGGGCTCGAACTCACGGACCGCGAGATCGCGACCTGGCTGAAGTCGGACGCTTAACCGACTGCGCCACCCAGGCGCCCCGATGGTTACCAGTGTTTAAAAAAAAAATTCCAATTCACAAAGATAAAATTTTTACAAATGGAATTGCAGTTTCCATAAACATCTTTACAAGACAAGGATAGATTTTTGTCAAGGAACACCAGAATTCTATAAGGTTTGTTTTGATTTCATTTTTATCTAAGTCCAAATCTTTGAAATTATTCATGCGAGAAAAAAATCATGGACCTGTAGTTCAACTTTGATGTTGTCAATATGGAAATGTTTAAAGAGTATTTATGAGTTTTCAGGTGTTTTTAAGTTTATCTCTTTAGATGAATTGACAGATAATTTTGTAGATAGGAAATACTGGAAAGCAACATAGAGGCCAGGGCCACCAGTGTGAGATTGCTTAGCTTCATTGTTGGTGGAAAAGGAATTATTAGGTACAAAGTTGCCTAGTACTTGTCAGTTCTCATTTACATTGAATTAAAGATAGACTGCTAGATTCATGCTATTGTTGGTTTGGATAGCACACTCATAATAGCAGGACTGTCTGTTGAAATCCTATAGCTTTTTAAAAGTCATTTAAATGTCATTGCTTTTTATATCTTGTCTTCTTTTCCAACCCTTTTTGTTTGTTTTCAAATTTAAATTTACTTTACTCTAGTAATGGTTATTTCCTTCTCTGAAATCTTAAAACTCTGTTAACTTATAAGAAACTGCTTAGAAATTTTGTCTTTCATTTTATCAGCTTTCTTGTAGGATACCTAATTGCTACCATAGTTCTTTGAGAAAGTAGGGCTGCCTTACTCTAGTGTCTGAAGTCTGCATTGATGACAATATCTCCTTGCCATAATTTTAAGAACCTGATTTCCGTGGGTATTAATTTGCCTTGTCTTTCATCCAAGTAGGTAACCTCTTTCTTTTCTTTTATTAAAAAAAATTTTTTTTAATGTTTATTTTTGATACAGAAGGTAGAGTGTGAAAGGGGTAAGTGCAGAGAGAGAGAGGGAGACCACAGAATCTGAAGCAGACTCCAGGCTCTGAGCTGTCAGTACAGAACCCAATGTGGGGTTTGAATCCATGAGCCATGAGATTATGACTTGAGCCAAAGTCAGACGCTTAACCGACTGAGCCACCCAGGCGCCCCAACATATTTCCTTTCTACGATTGGAGCTGATGTCAATAACATTGTAAATACTTCACTGAATTTTGTTTATCTAAACTACGAGTTTCTTTGTTCTTTCCTTAAATTCTCACTTTATAATTAATTTTTTTCAGGTTCTTAGTAACTTAGTTTTTCTAAGTAACTTTCTGATCTCTATAATAAATGGTATAGATTTGAGGAGCCTGAGTGGCCCAGTCAGTTAAGCATCTGACTTCGGCTCAGGTCAGGCGATCTCATACAGATACAAGTTTTAAGCCCACCTGGCAGGGCTCTCTGTGTGTCTTCGAGCCACAGGGCCTCTTTGGATTCTGGGTCCCTCACTTTTCTGCCTTTACCTCCTGCAGGCTCTTTTTCTCTCTCTCTCTCTCTCTCTCTCTCAAAAATAAATATTAAAAAAAAAAAAAAAAAAAAAGAATTAAAAAAATAAAAACTTTAAAAAATTAAAAATACGTAAAAATAAATGATATAGATTTATTTGAAATTAAAAAAAAACGAGCTATATAAGAGCAAATACTACCTACTCTATTTTTATATGCTCTTGGTAATGCAGTGAATTTCAACCTTGGTTCTACATCAGAACCTCCTTTGAAACCTTGTAAAAACATTTTCCCAGATCATGTTTCTATAGATTCTATTTTGATAGAGTGAGGTGGTGCTGAGGTTATCTGACTTTTTGAAAGTACATAGGTATCCTAATTTGCAGCCAGGACTGGGAATGGTGTGCCTAAGCAATTTTTTTTCTTTTTTTTTTTATTTCCCTCTTGACCTCTCCTGAAACCCCTTAAGACTCATTGGGGCGCCTGGGTGGCTCGGTTGGTTGAGCGCCCGACTTCAGCTCAGGTCATGATCTCACCGTTAGTGAGTTCAAGCCCTGCGTCGAGCTCTGTGCTGACAGCTCAGAGCCCGGAGCCTGCTTGGGATTCTGTGTCTCCCTCTCTCTCTGACCCTCCCCTGTTCATGCTCTGTCTCTCTCTGTCTCAAAAATAAATAAACGTTAATTTTTTTTTTTTTTTAAAGACTCAGCAGTACATCAAAAAACAAAAAATCAGCCCTTTCCTCCCAATCTTGTCCCTTTTTTAACCAAACCTGTGCTGCATATGACATTTTCTGTGCAGTGTGCACAATTACCAGCCTGAAACATAATGTACCAAGATTTTAGGACTGTTTACTGTCGTCCTAAGAGAATGACTAAGATATATATGCTTGGCCCCTATGTGTCCTAGGAGGTGCAGGCAGAAAACTATTCAGCAGGCAAAATCATTGGTGTCATAGGCAAGTAGAAATCATAATGTGAAACCTTGTCATGTCTGCGAGAGATTCATCCAATAACATTTGTCTGATTTAAGATCTTCTCTCTTCTATCTTTATTCCAAACCTTTGAAATATTTACTGCGAAATGTGTCCTAAAAGTAGGATGCAGTGGGCCCTAATATCTTTCTTATTTAAATAACATATTTTTTGTTTCTCTGAAAAAAATTGCTGTGGGTTTGATTCTCCATACCAGAAAATCAGAGAAAAGTTTCTGACATACTGATAGTAACACAGCCTTTTAAAAAGTTATAAATATGTTATGTAGGATGGGCTGCTGCATCTTAAGTGGTACTGGAGAATCCTAATATTTTATTACACTTGCATTCTGACCACATTCAGAAAAATTTTAAAAAACAAAATTGCAGAGTTTTTTCACAGTCTCATTGCCCCATCCCACCATGCATGTATATTTGTTAGTTATAACACTCGAAATAATTCTAGGAATCATGATCTTTTTCACTTGTAGATCTTTTTACTTTTAGAGTTGAGCCATACATTTTGAGTGAATTCCAGAGCTATGCATCAAGGAAATGGAAACAAGCCTTAGTATAGTATAGAAAAATCTGAAGAGAAATGATACAGATTTCTTTATTACCTCTATATCTCCCCTTTCATGTCATATATGCAGTTTCTGTCCTTAGAGTACTTTATGACATAATTTTCTAGTATAGCATCGATCATTCTGTGCTAGAAGAACTTTAAGGAGGATGCAGGACCTGTTGCTTGCTTTTGTATTTTTTTGCCTAGTGTTTTGTTGCTAGAAACTTTGGGTTTACATTGAATACTATTTAGTATATTTGCCAACAAATGATTTTTTTTTTAAATTTTAGATGATATTGGTGCTCACATGAATGTAGGAAGAACTTATAAAAATTTAAATAGAACCAAAGAAGCTGAAGAATCTTACATGATGGCTAAGTCCCTGATGCCCCAAGTAAGTTGTCATAATTTATTTCTATTGTGTCATATCTACTAGATGTCCATATTGAATAGAATTACCTAGATTATCTTTTCTTCAGTTTGTTGATACAAATGTAAAGTGTCCAATAAACCATTTATTACTACAAGTTTTTATTTAAATTCTAATTAACATATAGTGTGATAATAGTTTCAGGTGTACAATATAGTGATTCAACACTTTCATACAAGGGCACTCTTTAATCCCCATTCCCTATTTCACCCATCTCCCCGCCAATCTTCCCTCTGGTAACCATCAGTTTGTTCTCTATATTTAGGAGTTTGTTTCTTGTTTTACCTCTCTTTCTCCTTTGCTTGCTTGTTTCTTAAATTCCACATGAGTGAAATCATATAGTATTTGTCTTTCTCTGACTTATTTTGCTGAGCACAGTACTACAAGTTTTATAAAGGATTATATTTACTTTTCTAGCTCACTTAATTAAAAAAAAATTTCTAGGAGAGCTTGGGTCGCTCAGTTGGTTAACCATCCAACTCTTGAGTTCGGCTCAGGTCGTGATCTCACAGTTGGTGAGTTCGAGCCCCGCATTGGACTCTGTGCCTGATAGTGTAGAACCTACTTGCAATTCTCTCTTTCCGCCCCTCCCACATGCTTGTGTGCATACACTCGCTCTCTCAAAAATAAATAAATAAATTTTAAAAAGGCAAAGATTAAACTTATGTTTGTAAAAAATGTTATAAAGTTATGAATTTTAGATATTCTTGATTATAAGTTATCAATGAGTTAAGTAACTTTAAGTGAAGAGATTTTTATATAGTACATTAAGCACTAAATGCAACATTATTCCTATCAAAAGATAAATGAATAAAAAACTAATAAAATGAGGGGATACACCTCTGTTGCTGTATTGTGTTCAGTTGTAACAATGACACATGCAGAAAATTCATTGGATATTATAATATAGCATGAAAGTTGGAAAGTCAGATCCTGTCTTTCATCAGAAAAGATAGTTTGCAGGGCACCTGGGTGGCTCAGTTGGTTAAGTGTCAGACTTTGGCTCAGGTCATGATCTTGTGGTTTATGAGTGAGTTCAAGCCCCATGTCAGGCTCTATGCTGACAGTTCAGAGCCTAGAGCCTGCTATGGATGCTGTGTCTCCCTCCGTCACTGCCCTTCCCCCACTGGTGCACGCTCTCTCTTTCTGTCTTTCTCTTTCTCTCTCTCTCAAAAATAAACATTAAAAAAAAACTGCACTACAGTCTTCTCAATGGTAGTATATATTAATATATTAATAATTATAATATTAAAATAATTAGATATAGTTTGATAAATGTTTCAAAAACAGTTGGACCACATGATCTTAAGCATTGTTTCAGTCCTAAGATTCTAAAGTTATATTGTGTTCAATATAGACTTTTTCAGATATAATTTATTACTTTCATTGAAAATTTGGGTCTATATATCTTTTATAATCTTTACTTAACCTGAATAATCAGTTAACAAGGGAATTTTATTTCCTAATTCTACCAAATGAGGCTTTAGTATAACTCTTAACAAATTAACCACCCTGTCACAACCAGGAAGTACTTTGCTGACAACATGGAAGCTGACATGCTGTAACAAATACACTAGACTGAGAGGAAAGAGACCCGAGTTCTTTCTATTCCTTGTCTGATACAAATATGCTAACAGACCTTAGTCTCAAAAGTTTAGATTTAGTTAGGATTTTATAAAATGATGCATGTAAATTAAAAGCTAACAATATTCCATTGAGCTGGCATGAGTGAAAAAATATTATCTCCTTTAATACCACAAAATATTAATTATTTTATTAACATTTTATAAATACTGTAGGTACTTTCACGTTTTTATGACTTATTTCAGTATAGCAATACAAACTGGTACCATAACCTTTTTATGTCATATTTGAAGTAAGCTAGTAAGAATACTTATTTTTTATTTTTATGTGGTACTGAAACATCCAATTATGTCTTTCTGAACAGATTATTCCTGGTAAAAAATATGCAGCCAGAATTGCCCCTAACCACCTAAATGTTTATATTAATCTGGCCAATCTGATCAGAGCAAATGAGTCCCGGCTGGAAGAAGCAGATCAGCTGTACCGGCAAGCAATAAGCATGAGACCCGACTTCAAGCAGGCTTATATTAGCAGGTATTTGTAGTTTACTTTTAAGTTGTATTACAGAGAATTGAAGCTGTATCTGCATGTACATTTTGACTGTCTGAACTAAATTGCCTTTTTTTTTCTTTTAGTAATCTTATTTGGCGACCAAGAACATAGAAACATACCCTAGTTTAGACTTACAATCAAATTTAATTGATTTGATTTGAAATTGACTGTCACTTGTAGTAGCAAACTAAGGTTTTATACGGAAGAAAGAGTAGAAGCTTCTTGTTAGTTTCATTTACTTCTTATTGTCACATTCTTTTTTACTTAAAGCACTTGAAACTTGTATTTTCTAATAATTATTTCTTTTTTTTTTTTTTTTTAATTTTTTTTTTTCAACGTTTATTTATTTTTGGGACAGAGAGAGACAGAGCATGAACAGGGGAGGGGCAGAGAGAGAGGGAGACACAGAATCGGAAACAGGCTCCAGGCTCTGAGCCATCAGCCCAGAGCCTGATGCGGGGCTCGAACTCACGGACCGCGAGATCGTGACCTGGCTGAAGTCGGACGCTTAACCGACTGCGCCACCCAGGCGCCCCACTAATAATTATTTCTAATATCCAACTCTCAAGAGCTTTCTTAAATACTGACAACTGATTGGTTATTATGCCTTTTATTTATCACAAAGAAACTTTTTAGTTGTCAGTACAAAAACTTTTGGCCGCACATGTTAGAGAGAACTTAATATATTTTACCATGTAAGGATTATCATTTGTATTATACTTGGGTAAAATTGTATATTAAACTCTGCTTCATCCGCTGGCCCAGAAACCTAATCATAATTTTTAACATTGTTCTTATGGGGAAAATGCATTCAGAATTTCATTAGTTTTTGAGATAAAATCTGTTCATAAGTTGGGAGGCTGTCTTTGTTCAGTTTTATCCAGTAGTTGTTGAAATTAGCTAAGTTTAGTGGGGTTGCATATATAAATAGAATCTGTCATGTGTTAATCTATGAAGAATTATTCAACGATCTGCATTAAAAAATAACATCTTGGGCAGATGCTCTTTCTAGAAGTTGCTTTAATTGAGAATATTAGTCATTCATTTGATTTCATTCCTATGCTTATACTTAAAGGAAATAATGGTATCATAATAAAAGTATTCTCATATTACTGCCTAAATTTATTTGCACACATGTGCTTAAACAAAATGTCTTTTTAAAGCTCTAACAGATAATAGATCCGTATTGGAAGGATTTGTAAAATGGTTTTCAAACTGTGATCTTCTGTTCCACATGTGTTCCTCAAAGGTACCTGCAGGTGGCACTAGTACCCTCCTACCCTGCCTACTAGTCAGCTTTTTTAAAAACTCTTTTTTTGTTGTTTTGGGGAGTTTTTTCTTTCGTTTTAATGAATGGCCATTTTATAAGAATACATTGTAGAATACTAAATTAATATAAGAAGGGGCAAAATTTTCATTCTGCTCTTTATAAACGAGACTTCTAACATAGATTTGAATACTGGAATTTCCCCATCACTACCATATTTATTTTCCTTCTTCAAATGCTATTACTTGGTCCCCTGAAAACTTAATCTCCAGTTCTTGTTGCTGCCAATTTTATGATGTAGTCTGGTCTGCCTTCTTTCAAGATACAATTAAAGAATATATTTTCTCTGTTACCCTTTCTTGGATACCTCCCCGCATCTTACCCTTTAAAGTCAGGTATGCTGTTTCTTTCTTTAATTATACTTGAGAACCTAACAAACCAAATTTGCTAAACTAATGAGTTCAGGTTTGAGGACATTTTCAGATATTTTTGGTAGAAAACTTTAAAAGCCTGGGTTAAAAGGAAAAAGGAAAGCTGTGAATATGTGGAAAAAGTTGAAACTTACAAAAAATAGTATCTACACATTGACATGGTAATGTTGTAAGTAAAGCTTGTGTTTGATTTTTCCACAGAGGAGAATTGCTTTTAAAAATGAATAAACCTCTTAAGGCAAAAGAAGCATATCTTAAAGCACTAGAGCTGGACAGAAATAATGCAGATCTTTGGTACAACTTGGCGATTGTTCATATTGAACTTAAAGAACCAAATGAAGCCCTAAAAAATTTTAATCGTGCTTTAGAATTAAATCCAAAGCATAAGCTAGCATTATTCAATTCTGCTATATTAATGCAAGAATCAGGTATGTTTTCTTAAAATAGTTCTATATTTAAACACATTGTAGTTTGAAGTATAATGAAATCTGAACTTAAATTACATTATGAGTAGCAAACGTTTTATGAATAGTTTATATCAAAACTGCAGATAAATATAAGAATATTTAAAATGCTTGAAGTAAAGTTTTCAAGTAATATGCCTTAACACAATTATTAGTTCTTTGGGTATATGTTAAGACTTAATATTCAAGCAGTCTATTAAGCAGTGCCTTTTTAATCTATTTTGTCAATTTTATGCACAGAAATATATAATTTCTTACCCCTAAATATACCATCCAAATAATCAGAACTTGCAAAAATTCTTATATAATTATTTCTAGGAAGACGAGCATTATATTTCTATTTATTTTAGCAAAAAAACAGAACAATGTATTTTACCTTGATTTGTAAGAGCAAGTACTTTTGGTATCATTTTATATCTAGTTTTATTTTCTGACGTATTATTGTAATTTACTATTTTTTGTAATTTAACAAAACTAAATCATTCATGACAGTAAATCAGGATCTTTGATACATGGGTATTTTAGTAGTACAACAAAAGGCAGTATTTATAATTTATAATCTTAATTTTTAATTTGGAAAAAATTTGTACATTTAGATTTTTGTAGTTTAATCTTAGATACTTTTTAAAAACTTTTACAAAAAATGAAAGAATCATAAAATCATAGTATTTGAGTTAAAGAGGGTATTTGAATTTACTTTTGCCATTGTTCTATTTAGTATATTAGAGTAAGGACCAAATAGATCTCATAACTACCCCAAATGTCATATGGCTAGTTTAGTAAAACTAGTTCAAGATAAGAACTTAAGGTGACTGATTTATTTTACAATGTTTTTTATTCATCTTACTGTCAAATAAAAGTATAGAGGGAGATATTTATGCCTGGTATTCAAAACATAAATTTAGAGAAAAGCTAATGTTTTTGTAAAGTTAGCTAACCTTGGCAATCATGAAAAATGCCCAGTATTCAACACAAGATTGCACCCTAAGATTTGTAGTTGTGGAACTTGAAGTTTTTCTATTTATTTGCAATAGAAATTATCTCAAATATTTGCATCCTAATTTATATTTAAATTTATAAGCTTTATATTTAATGGTATATTTTTACCTTTGAAAATCTTGAAAAAATTGAAGTAATTAAAAATCTGATTTTGTAAGACTGAAACATTTTGTTTATCCAGTAGTAGTTACTATTTGCTGAGCTGTTTTACATATATCCCATGTAATGCCTAGAAAATTCAGCAGGCTAACCCAGAGAAGTTATTTGTTTAATGTATAAAGTCATAGTGTTAATAGAGTCAAGATTAGAATACATGTCATTTTTGGCAAATCCCAGGCCTCTTCCCCCTAATTGTGTTTTCTTCCTCTGTTACTACCAGTTAGATTCTTAACTAAGGAGGTATGTCATCCCTTCTGATTTTTGAGACACTCTTTCTGCTTTAAAGGAAAAGAAATAGGCTATCATTTCAGTGTTTCAAACACAACTGTCTTTCCTGTGAAAACTTTGGGTTTTTTTCATTCCACTTTTTGATGTAGGTACAGAAATTAGTTGTTTTGATGCTGTCTTTTTGTAATCTTAACTAGATAAATACTGAAAGTGGCTTTTGTTCCTCAGGCTTATTAATTCATTTGTTAACAATATGTATTTTTTCTTTAAAAAAATTATTCTTAGGTGAGGTTAAACTTAGACCTGAAGCTAGAAAACGCCTTCTTAGCTACATAAATGAAGAGCCACAAGATGCTAATGGTTATTTCAATTTGGGAATGCTTGCCATGGATGACAAAAAGGACAGTGAAGCAGAGATGTGGATGAAGAAAGCCATAAAATTGCAAGCCGATTTTAGAAGTGCTTTGTTTAATCTGGCTCTCCTGTATTCTCAGACTGCAAAGGAATTAATGGCTTTGCCAATTTTGGAAGAGTTACTCAGATACTATCCTGATCATATCAAGGGTCTCATTTTAAAGGGAGACATTCTGATGAATCAAAAGAAAGATATACTTGGAGCAAAAAAATGTTTTGAAAAAATTTTGGAGATGGATCCAAACAATGTGCAAGGAAAACACAATCTTTGTGTTGTTTATTTTGAAGAGAAGGACTTACTAAAAGCTGAAAGATGCCTGGTTGAAACATTGGCATTAGCACCACATGAAGAATATATTCAACGCCATTTGAATATAGTCAGGGATAAAATATCCTCATCTAGTTTTGCAGAACAGCCAGTATCCCCAGCTGGTAAGACTTCAGGTGTAGAAGGAGACAAAATTCCAACTGAAAGTGTAAAAGAAGTAAGAAGTGAACCCAGACCTACACAGATCATAAAACCAAGTGATAATAAAAGGCAGTCTAAGTCCAACAAACTATTAGGAAAAAGTACAGACAAAGAGACACCCCATAAAACAACAAAAGAAATCAAAGAAATTGAGAAAAAAAGAGTTGCTGCTTTAAAAAGACTAGAAGAGATTGAACGTATTTTAAATGGTGAATAGTATTATTTATCATGTGACAATGTCTTCAAAGAACTTCAGTCTATCTTATGTGATTGTTTATACTGGGAGCTTTGAAAAAACAACAAGTGTACATGTGACAGTCTATCATGAGCTGCCTCTACATAGGATCAAAATACGATTTTCATTAAATACCTGTGTTACTCCAGGGTATGTATTGTATAAGATATGACAGTAGTTCTGAGTTTTGGCAAATATAGCAGAAATACTAAATTACAGTTGGCAAATTTGTATCTTTTATGTAGAAGAATCTACCTGCAGAGTAATCTTGACTACTCTCAAAAATAATCTAAAGCCTGAATGATAAACCCTTGGGGGCAGATTCAACATATGCTAGTTTATTCTATGAATTTGCATTTATTAGTTGACTTCATTACCTTCTGTTACCTTTGGAATCTGACTATGGATTGAAAACACTTAATGAACACATTCTTTTTTCTTTGGTAACTTCTGTTTAACAAAGGAACTTGGCACCACAAAAGAATACTGGCTTCTTTTAGGTTATGTTCTTTGGTTGATTTTTAGAAGGACTGCCAGGTAAAACTTTTTAAAATAAGTCCAATGACATGTTAGTTTAAGAATGTATTTTTCATAATTGTGTGCTTGTCCTTAACTTTACTCTGAAATGCAATTTTTAATCAGGTAAAGTTTTAAATACACACATTTCTAATGGTGCTCATATATACTGTATTTTTATTTTTTTACATACTGAGAGTTTCACAGCATGAACCCCACATAAATCATAGCTATCTTTGATTTTTTTACTCCCCAAACTGTTCAGGTTTATTAGAGTCTAGTCAGATTGAAAAAGTTCCAATAATTATAACTTCATTTAAACTTTTGAGTTAAAACATAGTAAGATTCTCTTTCACCTTAGTGTTTTCTCTCTAGTGTTATTTGAATTTTAATTGTTCCAAAAACATACTTAATCATTCTTAGATACTTTAAGCAACTAAATTGAGTTCTTTATTTAACTGAAGGCAAAACAATGTGACAAAGTTTTATTTTTAAACACTAAGTTCTTGATATCTTCCTATGGTGTATATTTTTATTAAATATTTATTTTGACTACTGAGCTTTCATAAAAAATTTAAAGCTGTTTTAATTCCATCAACTATGGAAAACAAATTGCTGTTGCATTTTCCTATAAATGCATATATTACAGTTTAACCAAAATTTCATCGTCTTTGGCATACTTTCCAGCTATAAAAGGTAGTTAGCCTCATATAGGATTAATAGTTAATTTTAGCAAATTTAAACCTGAAAACTGTTAGGTTGAAGAGTAGATATAAATCAAATTTATTAATTTATATCTGATTTTTTGAGTTAAAATACATTTCAAATGAGTTTTACAGTATCGAATAAAGTTGGTTTTAATTTAAAATGTTAAAGCTCAAGCTATCATCCTGAGATAGTAACTGATTTCTAATTCTATAGAATTTAAAAAACTGTATTTCTGTTCCTCTGAGATAACTAAATTGTTTCAAAAATCATTACTGTAAGTTTTTATAAAGAAATATTTTCTAAATAGGTCACAAGAAACATAGTCTAGGGGCGCCTGGGTGGCGCAGTCCGTTAAGCGTCCGACTTCAGCCAGGTCCTTATCTCGCGGTCCGTGAGTTCCAGCCCCGCGTCGGGCTCTGGGCTGATGGCTCAGAGCCTGGAGCCTGTTTCCGATTCTGTGTCTCCCTCTCTCTCTGCCCCTCCCCCGTTCATGCTCTGTCTCTCTCTGTCCCAAAAATAAATAAACGTTGAAAAAAAAAATTTTTTTTTAAAAAGAAACATAGTCTACATTAAAGACCCACTCTTACTAGCTTGCCTGAGGTTGTGTCATAGATTATTTTTTAGGCAATTTAAATCAAGCACTGACACCAATCATAGTTCATTTTTGATTTAGGAGATTCTATTCAGGATTTAAAGCAATACCCAGTTTCAGTTTTTAAATTATGGATTTGTGACTCCAGGTATAAGATGGAGAATACCTCATATACTATGACTTGAAAAACAAAATCTATGTTAATCTTATGTTCTCTCCACGTATCTTGAGAAAAAGTTTCTGAGTTTGATCTCTTCTGTTATAGTATCAAACAAAGATAATTCAGAAAAGTAAAGAGAATCTTTCATGACAGCAGATTATAATAAGAGCTTTGAGTAATATTTTAATAAAATTGTATAACTATTGAAAAGATAAAAAATATATTGTTATCCAATGATTTTTTTAGAAAAAAAAGAATTTCCTCCTTATTTGCACTTAGAACAATGCCTATCATGTAGGAAGTGCTCATGTATTTGAGTTTTAAATAATTTATTTAAGTCAAATCCACCCTGAATAATGATTTTTCCAAATTAATGTTTCAACCCTCACTTCATATTAGAATCATCTGGAGGGCTCTTAAATATGAATCCCACCCCACAACAATTTAATCTGAATTTCTTAGGTAGGGGGCCATGCTTCTATTTTTCTTAAAGTTCTCAGGTTCTAATTTGTAGTCAGGGTTAATGACCACTGCTCAAAATTAGTTCAGGAAATTCTAAATTAGTTCAAGAAAATCCTCTTTATCTCTTCTGTGTTAACTTTTTAATTTAGTAACATAACCCGGTTAAGTTTTGATGTTTTAATAATTATGCTCTTCTGATAACTAGTATTTATTTCATCTTAAGTACCGTCAAGCTTGCTTATGTGTAAGGTGATTATTCTCTTTAAACTCATAGTAGAAATTTTATTGAAGCTGTTCAAGTGAAAAAAGGTAATAGATTTTTTCCCACCTCTTTGGAACTGCCTTTATGGGGATATGGATGGTTAGGGGCATTTTAGTCCAGTTCACTAACCTATGGTTCATAGTTGTAGGCATCTGTATGTTTGGAAAAGAAAGCTTATCATAGGTCTGTGTGCTGGTAAAGCGATGTAGTTTTAGTTCTCACTGTTTTACAAAAGAATATATTCCCCCAGGAGTTCTAGGAAAGCTTTGACAATCCCGAAGGGGCAGTTATGTTACTTTTTCACTGCTTCTCAGAAGAAAGAATTACATTTTTCTCCTATTGCTCCTATGGTATTTCCTTGTTAACATTCAGAATTGGGAGGTTTATCTTGTAACTATACCAGTAAGTGATTTCATGAAGCTCATGACTTGGAGGATAAAACAAATATGTTTGCAATTTTGTGTTTACGTTTATGTAAATATTTAGTATGTGAATTACACAATTCTAATAAAACCTCATGCGTTTTCATTATATCTAATTTGAGCTCTCAACTTCATGTTGCAGAATACTTTGAAGATGCTTTAATGAGAACTATTATGAAAATATATAGATTTATATGTCAGTTTCTACTTCAGAAATCCATATATTTGTCATATTTATTTTTTTAAAAACTTCCTAATTGTTTGCATGACTAAATGATATTTAAAATGAACCCCCCAAAATATCTGGTACCTTTGTCCAAAATTTTGTCTCTTGGAAGCTATCAGCCATCCATGTTAAGGGTTTATAAGAAAATAGTTTAATATTATATGCATTTTATATTATGGTGGTGTCTGTGTGTACCATATTTCTAAATATTCAGTATAAAATGCTTTTTAAAACCTTCACCTGAATTGCCTTTTAGTGTTCAAATGAGAAGTACAATAGTGTATCAACAGATTTCTGCCCCACAAAGACAGAAGAGCTGGTGGGTAGTTTTTATTAGCAGTGATATGAGAAAGATGTGTTAAATTGCTTCAAGAACAGTGATACATTTTTCAACCCTTAGTGACAGAAACTAAAGAAAATGAGACAAATTCAAATATGGAATTTTATACACATAAGTAGAAGTCAGTGTGGTGAAATAATTAGGAGTCTGAGTTATGGATCTGCCTGGATTCAAATCTTGGTACCACCCTTACTAATATAACTTAAAGGAATGTTTAACCTATATGTCCTTGGTTTACATTTATATAGGTTTAATATGTATATATCCTATTGTATAAACTGGCAGGTATTTTTGTAACTATAAATAATGCATGCTTAGCCATGTACATTGTAAATAGTCTTTACCAAACACGTTTGATAAGGACCATAATTAACATCACGTAGTAAATTGTGTTAAAGAAAAGCCATGATTTATTTGATGTAATTGGCTTAATTTTTTTTTCACGTAGTATCAACATGAATCTGTTTACAGCTGTAACCAACCAGTAGTACTCATCTGTCCATCCAGTGTTGTCTTTATTTTATTTGATTGTGGCTTGATAATATTTTATTAGATTGGGAAAACTAAAGAAACAGAATGGTTTTAGTTTTGCTAAAGACTGGCCTTATTAATGAACAGCTTTCCTAACAAGTGATTATTGACTTTTAGCGGGTGTTAACATCTGTTTCATAACATGGCAGTATGTTTATATGTCAGAAGTTTTATGACATTTCTAAGTTGATTTGTTGAAATAAATTCAGCAAGTGGAAAAATCTATATATTTATATTAAAAATATTAATATATTTAAATTGTTTAGGATAGTTCTTGGTATAGTAAATGATAGATGTTAATCATTAATGTAATCATAAGGCTTAGGTATGTAGTAAATAATAGATGTTAATCATTAATGTAATCACAAGGCTTAGGCTTGCATTTGATACATATGATTTGCTTTATGTGTTAGCAGAGATAATGTTAATGATGGTCGTATAGCAAACAGATTATTAGATATTTAATGCTGGTTCCTTAGCCAGCTAAGGAACTTGTTCTTTTGCTGTTCACTGCTTTTAGGAAGGTAGCATAAGATAAAATCTTTCCTAAAAGTCTCTGAAGACTTAATCTCAGGCAAATTCATGTTCTTTGGAACCCACTTTATTCAAAGTAACATTTCTGTGACTCTGCCAATGGATAGCATAATTCCCATCAAGTCGTGTTTTTATTGTATAGGAACCTGATGCCTTCAGTTTTTACCTTAAGCAAAATACTTCTCACCAAACCATTCTAGTTTTCCCTTTCTTAAAGACTTTAGTGGTT